TGTATTAACCAATGTGTTTTTCCCCATGATTTCCTGTTACCCTTTACCCCCTCCCCCCAATCTGGGCAGTTAGACCATGAGTCATTCTGTGCCTCAAGGGAGGGTTGTCACAGCAGACTCAGAGAACAAAAGAGACAAATTCTTGGCTTTCGAGTTTAAAAAGCTCAGCTTCAGGCTTCAGACTAAAAAGATTTGGAAGACTATTTGATCCATTTGAGCCAATTTTTTTTCCTGCCCACGTAAGATAAAAATTCCCCTGGCTGGGATACAAGAGGCAATTTTAAGGCAAAGCCAGGGGGTCAGAAGCCCTGTGGTCCCCAGGGAGCTCCACAGCAATTTTACCCCTTCCTTTGGCTAAGCTTTGGAGCATGGGGTTTTCGGGGAGAAGGTGGCAAGCCTTAGAGATCCTTATACCTGGTATTGTGCCAGAGAAACTGCCTAACATATCCAGACTGAAAGAGCTGAAGTGACATTAGAGAATTCTCATGATCCCAGAGAGATGACAGAGGTAAGCCTAAAATTCTCTATGGCCCTCAGATATAGAGGTGGCTAAAAGAGAGCAGAGCTGGAGGAGTCCCCCAGTTACGGCAGGTATGCAAAGCAGTATTCCTAAGGATGGGGTTCTGGGGACCGGTGGTCCCATCTACTAGCCTGAACAATAACAACCAGGCTAGAACTGAGGACGATGACACAAGTTCAGAACAGAGAGAGGTGGAATCGGGAGAATCCTAGATTCAAGGACGCTTGGGATGCCCAGCAAGATCCTGGCTTAAAAACAAGCAAGCTGCCATCAGAATCAGACCGTAGCAAATACTGAACATTCTACAATTCTGGAGGAGTAGCTTAAATTCACTTTGGGCAGCCATTTGAGCTTCCTGTACGGAATACTTCTCCAGATAGTTGAGGGGAAGTGACCTACTGATTTAAGTTTCTTCAAGACCAGGGCTTCAAAAAAAAAAAAAAAAAAAAAAAAAATCAATGTCCTGACACACTCTAGACCCCACAAGTTGCTGCGGAGTCAAAGTTTCTTCTCTGTCTCTTTACCTCCCCAACAAGCACAGGTCGAGGTTTTCTCTTATTTCTTACCTACCCAACCAAATTCCATCCAAAGAGGAACACAAATGTCTGTAACATCCTTGCTACAAATTTATTGCCAACCTCATACTACAGGAAGAATAAAAGCCTAACATCATTTAAAGAAGAGCCTCATTCCAAGCCATTCTCTGCTCTTCTGAGTCTATTTGTTTCACTAAAAATGATTTACTATCCTTCTAAAATTGCCTACACACTACATTCTCTTCATAAAAAGTATTCCGCCATCAACTACCTGAACTCTCTGGTGTCATATTCATGTCTCCTGTGTTTCTATTTGTTGATAAATTTTGTGTTTCCTGTTCATCTGTCTACTGCTGGTTTATTTCACAGACTAAAATTACCGAACTGTAGCCCAATATTTTGGTTCTTGGACCTAATCCCAGTTATTGGGAAGTTGAGGCAGGTAGATCAAGTTCAAAGCCAGCATGGCAGACATAGCAAGTTTTGGGCCAGTCAGAGCCACATGGTGAGACTGTCAAAACATTCCCCTCACTTGCCACTTCCCCAAGCCCAAAGTCACCGAAGCCAGACAGTTTGGATTTCCCTACAGTGCCTTCAGACCTTCTCCTAAAACAGATTTTAAGAATGCCTGTCACCTGAAAAGGGTCTGAGCCCCGAGAAGCCGTTGTTTGATCTGACTTAGGGTTAGGACATTCCTTTGCCTCGTGCCACAGAAGACATCAAGGCATATGGAAACTAGTTGCATGCACACTTTTACCTTCTTCTTCTTCTTCTTCTTCTTCTTCTTCTTCTTCTTCTTCTTCT